CTACATCCATGTATGCTTGGGTTCATCTTTAGGTTCTCTGTTCTGTTCCATGTATCTACATCTCTGTTTTTGTGCCAGTACCATGCTGTTTTGATCACTATAGATTTATAGTATAATCTGAAGTCTGGTAGTGTGATACTTCCTGATTTGATTTTATTTCTGAGTAATGTATTGGCTGTTTGAGTTTTTTTCTGATTCCATATAAAACAAAGTACTATTTTTTCAAGTTCTTTAAAGTTTGATATTGGTGCTTTGATAGGGATTGCATTAAATCTTTAGATTGTGTTGGGTAGTATGGACATTTTAACAATGTTGATTCTTCCTAGCCACAAGCATGGTATGGTTTTCCATTTTTAACATCTTCAGCTATTTCTTTTCTCAGAGTTTCATAGTTCTCATTATAGAGATCTTTCACTTCTTTTGTTAGATAAATTTCCAGGTATTTCATTTTCTTTTGCACTACTGTAAAAGGAATAGAGTCCTTGACTATATTTTCAGCTTGACTATTGTTGGCATATATAAAAGCTACTGATTTGTAAGTATTGATTTTGTAACCTGAGACTCTGCTATATTCCTTGATCACTTCCTGGCAATTGAAGCAACACCAAAAATATATTACTGGGATCTGATTAAGCTAAAAAGCTCTGCACAACTAAGGGCACTGTAAGTAAAGCAAATAAGCAGCCTTCAGAATGGGAGAAGATTTTTGCAGGTTATAGTTCCAACAAAGGTCTGATAACTAGAATCTACAAAGAACTCAAACTAATTATTAAGAAAAGAACAAACAACTGCATTTCTTTGTGGGCAAGAGACTGGAACAGAAAGTTCTCTGAAGATGACAGGCATGGGGCCTACAAACACATGAAAAAATGCTCATCATCTTTAATCATCAGAGAAGTGCAGATCAAAACCACTTTGAGATACCACCTATCCCCAATAAGATTAGCCCACATTACAAAATCCAAAACCAGCAAATGATGGTGTGGATATGGTGAGAAAGAAATACTTCTACACTGCTGATGGGACTGCAAACTAATACAGCCCTTTTGGAAAGAAGTATGGGGAATTCTCAAGGAACTAAAAGATCTACCATTTGATCCCACAGTATCATTACTAGGTATCTACCCAGATGAGCAAAAATCATTTCACAACAAAGATATTTGCAACAGAATGTTTATTGCAGCCCAGTTGACAATAGCCAAGTCATGGAAGCAGCCCAAATGCCCATCAACCCCTGAACAGATTAACAAATGATGGTATATGTTTACCGTGGAATACTATGAATCCATAAAAAGGAGGGAGACCTTACATCTTTTATGTTTACCTAGATGGAACTGGAACATATTCTTCTTAGTAAAGTATCTCAAGAATGGAAAAAAAAGTATCCAGTGTACTCAATACTATTATGATACTAATATAGATACACTTATATATTGATAAGAATGATAAGACACAAAGATAGTCCAGAAAGAAAGAAGGAGGGGAGCGAGTGGAGGGAGGGTATTTGGTGGGATTGTACCTAATGTACACAATGCAAGAGTACATTTCAAAACAACTAAGAGTATATTATAAATACCTAACAAAGGAGGTGAAGAACCTCTATAAAGAAAATTATGAAACCCTACGAAAGGAAATAGAGGGTATTAACAAATGGAAGAACATACCATGCTCATGGCTGGGAAGAATCAACATTGTTAAAATGTCCATACTTCCCAAAGCAATCTACCTATTCAATGCCATCCCTATTAAAATACCAACATCATACTTTGAAGATTTGGAGAAAATGATTCTGTGTTTTGTATGGAACCAAAAATACGCCCGTATAACTAAGGCAATTCTTAGTAATAAAAACAAAGCCAGAGGTATCACCATACCAGATTTTAGGCTGTACTACAAAGCCATAGTGGTTAAGACAGCATGGTACTGGCACAAAAATAGAGATACAGACATTTGGAATGGAATAGAAAACCAGGAAATGAAACTGACATCTTACAACCTCCTAATCTTCGATAAACCAAACAAGAACATACCTTGGGGGAAAGACTCCTTATTAATAAGGGGAAAGACTCCTTATTCAATAAAGGGTGCTGGGAGAACTGGTTATCCACATGTAAAAGACTGAAACTGGACCCACACCTTTCCCCACTCACAAAAATTGATTCAAGATGGATAAAGGACTTAAATTTAAGGCATAAAACAATAAAAATCCTCAAAGAAAGTATAGGAAAAACACTGGAAGATATTGATCTGGAGAAAGACTTCATGAAGAAGACTGCCATGGCAATTGCAACAACAACAACAATAAACAAATGGAACTTAATTAAACCGAAAAGCTTCTGTACAGCTAAGGAGACAACAACCAAAGCAAATAGACAACCTACACAATGAGAAAGGCTACTTGCATATTTTGAATCAGACAAAAGTTTGATAACTAGGATCTATAGAAAACTCAAATTCACATCAAAAAAGACAACAATGCCATATATCAATGGTCAAGAGACATGAATAGAACCTTCTCTAACGAAGACAGACAAACAAACGTATGAAAAAATCCTCATTATCCCTAATTATTAGAGAAATGCAAATCAAAACTATCCTGAGATACCATCTAACCCCAGCGAGAATGGCCCACATCACAGAATCTCAAAACTGCAAATGCTGGTGTGGATGTGGAGAGGAGGAAACACTTTTACACTGCTGGTGGGACTGCAAACTAATACAACCTTTTGGGAAGGAAGTTGGAGAACCCTCAGAGAACTCAAGCTAGACCTCCCATTTGATCCTGCAGTCCCATTACTGGGCATATACCGAGAAGGAAAACAATCCTTTTATCATAAGACACTTGCACTAGACTGTTTATTGCAGTTCGATTTATAATCACCAAAATGTGGAAACAGCCTAACTGCCCACCAACCCAGGAAAGGATTAACAAGCATGGTATATGTATACCATGGAATATACTATTCAGCCATTAAAAAAAATGGAGACTTTATAGCCTTTGTATTAACGTGGATGGAAGTGGAAGCATGAATCCTATGTACTCAATTTTGATATAAGGACAATTAATGACAAGGGGAAGGGGTGAGCAGAGAGAGGAAGAAGGAGGGAGGAGTGGGGGAAGGGATTAGCAGAGAGAGGGAAGGAGGGAGGAAGGTGGGGTCTTGATGTGTGCCACACCTTTTGGGGGCAAGACAAGATTGTAAGAGAGACATTACCTAACAAATGCAATCAGTGAAACCTGGTTTCTTGTACCCTCAATGAATCCCCAACAACAAATTAAAAATAAATAAATAAATTATCACAAAAATAAGTGAGATGATGGTTATGTTAGTTTGACCTAAACATTCCACATTGTGTATCAAATCATCACATTGTACCCCATAAACGTATACAGTTATGATTTAATAAAAATTAAATTTGAAAAAAGAAAAAATTGAATTTAGTAAAATCAGAACTCGAACACAAAACAATAAAATGATACAAAGATTGTAGAGCTAAATGCAGGGGTCCTCAAGCTTTTTAAACAGGGGGCCAGTTCACTGTCCCTCAGACTGTTGGAGGGCTGGACTGCGGGCCCCGGGATGAGTTGGCTGCTAAGCAGGACAGGCAGCAGTGGCAAAGACACCCAGCAGGTGGGATGAATGTCCTAGGCGGGCTATAGTTTCAAAATGCCTGAGCTAAAGAAACAAATTAAGATCTAAAATAGTATATTTCTATAGGTATTAAAATGAAAAACAAGAACTGACTGTACATAGTTAAAAATGAATTACTGACATGGAATAAAAGTAGAAGATATTCATAGTAAACATGAACAGCATAAAGAGGTTTAAAAGATAATAAATTTATTTAAAAAATAAATCTGAGATTGGTATTTCTTTCTTTTCTTTTTTTTTTTTGAGACAGAGTCTCACTATGTTGCCTTGGGTAGAGTGCCGTGGTATCATAGCTCACAACAACCTCAAACTCTTGGGCTTAAGCAATTATCTTGCCTCAGTCTCCCAAGTAGCTGGGACTATAGGCGCCTGCCACAACAGCCAGCTATTTTTGTTGTAGTTCTCATTATTGTTTGGCAGGTTCAGGCTGGATTCAAACCCACCAGCTCTGGTGTATGTGGCTGGCGCCCTAGATGCTTAACTACAGGCACCAAGCCTAACATTGGTATTTCTAAAGCAGAGGACCTAACATCTAGGAATTATATCTAGAGGTGAATCAAAATAAATCCTTGGGAAAGTGTCTAGCCTCTTAATATACAGTAGAACCTCTCTAAGTTGGCCACCAAAGTGACTATAATAAACTGGTCAAAATACAGGGTGGTCAGCATAAGGACCCAGGCCTACTGTACTGATATGTACGTGTAGTGGAGCTTCTACTGTATTTCATGATCTCCTTCTGCAACTCCCAAACCTGAAGGAGATCTTTTAGGAATTGAATTCTGGGAACTTAGGGATAGCTATTGTGGGAACATACTTAAAGTTAAGCAATTTGTTTTACATTATTTACTTTAATCTACTGGATTTATATTAATTTAATACTTTTTGAAATACAAGTGTCATGTTATGATTCCTTTTGGTAAAATTATTTGTTTTTATAATTGAAATATGTGCATATTGAATATGTCTAAAATATTTATCACTGAGGTTTCTGATGGCTATTTCTGGATAGTAGAATGTTGGGATTTGAAATGGTTCTGTTTGTGCTTTTTTCTTTTCTCTTGCTTTTACTATTGTTTGATTTTCAAGTTATGATCACATACTAGCTTATAAAAATCACGAGTCATTTGAAAAATAAGTTTTTTTAACCATTACAGAAAAAGATCTGACTCTGGTCCTGATACCAAAAAAAAAAAAAAAAGTAAGGAGTAAATATAGTAAGTATAAGTGTAGGTTCAGCATGAGAAAAACGCATAAAACCTAGATTATTATCAAGCCTTGATGACATTTACTTTTGTTAATTTTTTAATTATTTAAAATAATTCTTGATTTTTTTTTCTTTTTACTTAGGTCATGCACATTCGGAAACTACTTCAGAAAATGGATCGCCCAAATGGTCTCTATCCAAATTATTTGAACCCAAGAACAGGGCGCTGGGGTCAGTGTAAGTATTTCTAGTACCATTGATTCTTTGTTAAAAGGCTATTTATCTGAAAATTCTATGCTTGATGTAGTGCAAAGAACACTATGTGGAATTAAAAATCCTCAATTACTGTTTAACCCTATGATCTACTAGTGCTGTTATCTTTGACACATTTCTAATCTCTTATGGCTTTAGTTTTCCTGCTTGTAACATGGAAACATTCTGTCGAGAAAAATATTTTATTTCGTGTATTTAAGTACTTTGCTAAAATATAGTGTACTTGTTTGAAGGATTTTACTTTAAAATATATCTTCATGTAAAGGAGAACACTGCTTAGGAGAGGTATTTATAGGAGTATGAAAGACAAATGAGTATATTAAATGAGTAGTGGGCAGCAGTTGCTCATGGACAAGAAATGTCTAGTTATTCATTTTAGAAGAAGGTATCATGTCATCCATTATTTATCAGGCTCTACGCCAAGTTCTTAGATTAGGATGAGTTGGGGAAAGAATACATAGAGCTTGGCCTGATTTCAGGGAGCCCAGAGGTTAGTAGGATAGATAGACATACTTAGAATTTAGTTGTAATAAAATGTGATAAATGTTGTATATAGAAGGGGAAAGTACCAACTGTATGGGAAACTGTGGTATAATTGCTTCTCTCTGCCTGAGGGGAAAGTATCTTGTTTGAGAAAGGAGTAGTTTTTCTTATTAGAGATTTAGAATTTATCTTTCAAGGAACTGATTTTAAAAATAACACATGTTCATATGGAAATGTGGAACTTAAAGTATTTTAGTAGATATGGGTTCATCAGTGCTATTCTCTTCTAAAAGGTAGGAAAATAAGAACAAATAATGGAAGTTGCCATTTTGCTCCTAATAAAACACAATTGGGTTATTTTTGAGACTAGTAAAATCATAATGAAGTAATAAGAGACAAAAGTAACAGTCATTGTTGAATCTGCCAGGGAGAAAATATGCTGGTGTGAGTATGAAGAGTAGGGAAACATCTGCTGTGAAACTGCCTTTTATGCTCCTTTCCTGGAAATTATCCATTATTTTATGAAAGGAAAGTAGATTGATTAATGTAGTGCCTTTCATGGGTCTGAAATAGGATCTCAATCTGCTGACTTTTCTTACTTTTCTTCTTTCCTAAAATTCTTTACAAGTAGCTCATTTTTCTTTTTGCTTTGAAGAAAATAAAAGATCCAATGCCTAGATGGAGTGCAAATGATACTTTCTGAAAAAACAATCCAGAGAGCTGCATTTCTAACACTGAAGATGCATCTTTTTTAAAAGAGCTTTATAATTCACATAGGACATTATTCACCCAAATTTCACAATTCAATATGGCTTTTAGCATATTTACAGATAATGTGCTATTATCACATACTATAATTAACCAAATTTTAGAAAATTTTTTTTTTTTTCTTTGCAGTTTTTGGCTGGGGCTGGGTTTGAACTCGCTACTCCGGCATATGGGGCCGGCACCTTATTCCTTTGAGCCACAGGTGCCGCCCTTTAGAACATTTTAATTACCTCAAAAGTTAGCCCTTTTAACTAGATGTGCTCGCAACCCCACTCTTGTGAGCTCAAGGCAGTCAGTAAGTAACTTGCTTTCCATCTTTCTAGATTCTCCTGGTTTGGACTTTCATAAGAATGGTGTCCGAAGTATGGGAGACAAATTTTTACTTTGACCCTTTTAGGGTTTTTTTCAGTTGGGCTTTTTTTTGTTTTTTTTCCAGAATATTATGTGGATACAAGTGTTTGGTTACATGAATTGCTTTCCTACAGTTTGAGACAAACTTATATGTGTATCTATAACACAGATAGTGTGTATTTTACCCATTAGATGTGAATTACCCGTTTCCTCCTCTCCCCTTCCACCTGCATAGTTTCACTCCATGTGTGCCCATAAGAGTTGAATGATTGGTTCCAGTTGAGGAGTGGGTACCTATGGTGGTGCTTTTTCTATTCTTATGATACTTGACTTACAAGAATGCTCTCCAGTTCCAGAAGGTATTAGTTCACCATTTTTTTTTTATGACTGAGTACTCCATGGTATACATATACCACATTTAATTAATCCACTTGTGTACTGATGGGCACGTGGGTTGATTCCACATGTTTGTGATTATGAATTGTGCTGCTGTAAACATCTGAGTGCATGTGTCTTTTTTGTAAAAATTACCTTTTTTCCTTTGGGTAAGCCCCCTGTAGTAGTGGGATTGCTGGATGAAATGGTAGCTTTGGTTTCAGCTCTTTGAGGTATCTCCATACTATTTTCTACAACGGTTGTACTAGTTTGCAGTCCCATTAGCAGTGTGTAAGTGTTCCTTTCTCTCCAAATCCACTCTGGTATCTGTTGTTTTGGGATTTTTTGATAATAAGATTGTCACTGGAGTTAGGTGATACCTCACTATGGTTTGATTCACATTTCCATGATGATTAGATATGTTGATACTATTTTCCTAGGTTTATTTGACACTAGTTTATATTCTTTTGAACAGCTTCTGTTCACTGGGGAAAAGAATAAGTAATGTTTAAAAAGTTGGATAACCACATGCAGAAGAATGAAACAGGATCTGCAGCTCTCATTACTCATAAAAATTAGTTCATGATGGATAACAGACTTAAGCCTAAGACATGAAGTTATAAGAATTCTAGAAGATTTATGAGGAAGACCCCCAAAGGAAATCACAGCAACAACAAAAATTGAGTTTTCTAACTGTAGATAAGGATGACTACCCCTTAGAATTGTATTAAGATTTGGAAATGTTAGGATAATTAGAATGGTGTAACAACATACTAAAATTACATTCAGTTCCTGTCTTGTGTTATATGCAAGTATATATTCTGTATGGTATAACTATACAGAATAGTATAAGTATAAAGAAGTCAAAAAAATACCGAAAAATTGTTGAATATGTGGTCAAGAAAGCCTTTGCTAAGCATGTCACATAAAGGAAAAACCACAAAGACAAAGGACAGTTAGTTCTATATATTAATGTTAACCTTCTCCATTTCATAACAATTAACAAGTTACAAACTTAGCAAATATGTTTGATACACAGTTTTCATATCCTTTCTACATAAAGACCTCCCTAATATGATAAGAAAAAAAGGATCACTCCAATAGAAAAATGGGCTATGAAGAGTTACTTCACACATAAAAAAACCAAAATGGACAAAGCCAGATGTTCATGTGTAGCCCTGAAAGTGTAGTGATAATGAAGATAACTTCATTGCCTTGGAGACAATGTAATGTGACGACGTCTAACCCTAGCCCTTTTCATGTTGGAAGGCTGAATTCATTTAACTGTAATCACTAAGGCAGCATTAAGAAACTTCACTTAGATATGAGGTCTGACAATTAAGTTCATGAACTTGCCACTGTGTGCTTATGTTGGCAGCACTGCACAAACTCAGTAAGGTTTCATGACCTTGTTGTGTCCATGTCTCAGTTATGTTCATGTCATCATGTAACAGTGTCTTGCTTAGCTGCTTTCGTAATTGTTGTGTGTTTTTGTGTGCCATCATGAGAATGTCAGTGCTTGAATTAGAGCAACAAACAAATAGTAAATTTCTCTTAAACTTGTCAAGAGTGGAGATGCTATAAAGGACATAGTAGTCCAAGTTTATGGGGATACCATGAGAGAAAATGGCGGTGTATAAACGGATTAAATATTTTCCTAAGGGGAGAGAAAGTGTCACTGATGAAGAGTGGTTAGGGTAGCCAGTGAAGAACAAAACTAATGAAAATATTGCAAAAATATCTCATATTGTGTGTCAAAATGGTAGGCTGACAGAGCATAGCAGACCAACTAAACATTGATAGAGAAACATGAAAATCTTAACTGTAAATCTTTGCCAGTAGTTCATGGATCTTGCATCATGACGCTGCACCAGTGCACAAGGTACTATGAGGGAGTTTTTAGCCAGTAAACAAATAACTGTGTTGGAACACCCTCCCTACTTACCTGATCTGACCCTCAGTGGCTTTTTTCTTTACCTGAAGATAAAGGAAATATTGAAAAGAAGACATTTTGAGGACATTTAAGACACCAAGGGTATTATGACGACAACTTTGATGTTCATTCCTAAAAAGGAGTTCCCAAGTTGCTTTGAAAGGTGGACTAGGTGCTGGACTAGTGCATAGCTTCCAAAGGAGAGTACTTTGAAGGTAACCATAGTGATAATCAGTTATGTAGCACTTTTGCTGGTATGAGTTTGCCAACTTAAATATCAGATCTTGTACACATAAAAATGTACATTATTTTGTAAAAATCTACTATGTATTTAATATTTCACAAAATGAAAACTATTTGTTAATTTTAAAATTACCTAACCTTTTAAAGTGATTGCTGTCGTCTCTGCTTTTTGTTGGAAAACATTTGAATATTTAGTTACAGCATGGAGGTTCACAGTTTAAGTTGATCCTCTACGTGGGTATCCATCATTGTGACCTTATGGGAGTCTTGATTTGGGTTAGGTAGAAGAATGTAGATTCTCAGCAATAAGTGTGCGAAAACAAGAAAACATTTTTTAGGCATGTTGGTGAAGGCATGGATATTCTGCTGCATTCTTCCATGTTTCGATTTGATCTTTCTTAGCATTATCCAACAATTACTTTAATGTCATCTACTGAGAGCTTAATTCATTCCATCTGTAGTTCTTTAGATGCTTTGGTGATATCAACTAAGTGAGGCTGAAGTGTTAATTTAAGTGTGATGTTATGATTCTCAAAGTCAGTGAAGCTTTGTTCATAGCACAGGTTGAGAAAGAATTCTTGACACAAAGATTAGGATAGGTTTTAAAGAAAAGTTAATTTTATTTTCTAAGGGAGGAAAGGTATGGCATGAAAGAAAGAAGTGCCAGCCCTGAAGGTAAGAGGTTTGAGGTTTTTATTGGGATAAAGGATATGGTGCTTATTGTTGCAAAGTGATAACAGGAGGCAGCTTTATTTTTTTCTCTGCCAGACTCGCTTCGTCAGTCTGTTTGAAATGTGTTGTGCCAGGAACTGGGGTAGGGTCCTCCTCCTTCTGTCTATACAGTTCTTTTCAAGTGCTGTAAAAACAGACCCTTAACCACTACAAGTTAAGCCACAGGAGGTTCATCAAAGGGCACTTGTGCACTGTATTTTTACTTTTTCCCTCTTTTCTGTTAGATAATTTATTAGCAATGCTGTCCTTCCACTTTTCTTTGTACATGTATTCTCTAATAGGTTGTAACAGCTAAATATTCTTCAAATGATTGATATATATCATTCTTCTCACTGATGACCTCTGCTAACTGGGGAAAATGTTCATCTAAAATTTCCTTTTGAAGAAGTGTTTTGAAAAAGGTAACTTTTTGTGAAATTGGCTTTTTTGCCACATATCATGTTTGGACTTTGTTTTACCTTGCAAAGAAATATTCAAGCATTTTCATTACACATGATATCACACAGAAATGTATTCCTGTAGAACTCTTCTTTCAATAATTCACATTACTGATCCTGTGCTTTTTAAAATTTAACTGTCTGTTTTCACAGAGATAAACTTTTGGCTAACACCTGTTCCTGGTATAGGCTACAGCACTTTGGAATGATTGGGCAGATCCCCACTAAATATTGGCATGTTGCAAAACTGATGCTGCTGTGTTGCATTTGCAGGAATATAGTGAACAATACTTACAACTTGTTGCAAAGTGTCACTAACCAGTTTCCCCATGCTCTTAACCCCTTCTTCCATTTGTTTGCAACTTAAAATAGTTGCTTTACCACAGAAATTTTTCTGATGTAAGATAGAATGAAAAGAAATGGGAGCATCTGGATTTATTAACAATTTATTTTATCTGTGCAAACATCTGTCATGTTTTCTTGTCGTAGAAGCTATACATACATCTTTACATATACCCACTACATTTAGCAAATTCAATCCAACTTTGTAACATTTATCTTTTTTTTTTTAACCCCCTGAGAGGGATGTACCATTTCTAGAGATACTGAAATAGCAGGTTGATGGTTGGAGCAGATGGACCAAGATCTTATTCCATCTCTGTGCTCCCAAAATCTACTGAATATTTTGTCCTTGGATAGAGGACATATCCAATGTTAAATGGATACGAGCAGATACTACACTTGATCTTAGCCACAAGGCCAAGAAACAGTTATGACATTTATCTCAAAAATTATTGCAAATATTTATTCCCTGGGTTCTGTTCCCAAGAATGCCCAAAGTGAATAACTCTTCTTAGCAAAGAAAATCTTCTGTTCTGACCCAAATAAAATACAAAAGCTTCACCAAGCTCATAGTTGATATATCCAATACTTCTTTTTGAAGTATTGCATGAAGTTGTTCTGGTAAGTTGAAGGCTAATTTACGCTGCCAGTCAGTCATGGTTCTCCTTGAAAGAGGCAGTTATTTGTACTTGGAAACGTTGTCAGGGTCTAAGCATCCTACAACTTCAACAATGCATTCTTTCCCACTTTCTGCATCACTGAATGACTTTCCTTTCACCCTGAGTAAGTTCCTTTCTAAGTGACTTTCAAGGGTCATTATTTCTAAGTTTTATTGTTCTTCAAAGAAGTGACTGCTTTTGCTATTCATCTTTTAATTTCTGCAATACAACTTTTCACTTTTCCCTCTTTAATTTAAACTATCTGTGGTGTCTATGAATATTATAATGTTGTAGTGAACATTGGATTTCTTTCTTTTTTTTATTAAATCATAGCTGTGTACATTAGTGCAATCATGGGGTACAATGTGCTGGTTTTATATATAATTGGAAATATTTTCATCAAAATGGTTAATATAGCCTTTACGGCATTTTCTTAGTTATTGTGTTAAGACATTTGTATTCTATACCTAGTAAATTTCACATGTACCCTTGTAAGATGCACTGTAGGTGTGGTCCCACCAGTTACCCTCCAGCCAACTCCCCCTCCCCTTCTTGGGCTATGAAAGCTATAAATTGGTTTCATAATAGGGCTGAGTACATTGGGTAATTTTCCTTCCATTCTTGAGATACTTTGCTAAGAAGAATATGTTCCATCTCCATCCATGTAAACATGTAAGAGGTAAAGTCTCCATCTTTCTTTAAGGCTGCATAATATTCCATAGTGTACATATACCACAATTTATTAATCCATTCGTGGGTCGATGGGCATTTGGGCTTCTTTCATGACTTAGCAATTATGAATTGGGCTGCAATTAACTTTCTGGTACAAATATCTTTTTTATAATGTGATTTTTGGTCTTCTGGATATATACCCTGTAGAGGAATTGTAGGATTGAATGGCAGGTCTATTTTTAGATCTCTAAGTGTTCTCCAAACATCTTTCCAAAAGGAATGTATTAGTTTGCATTCCCACCAGCAGTGTAGAAGAGTTCCCTTCTCTCCACATCCGTGCCAACATCTTTGGTTTTGGGGTTTTGTTGTGTGGGCTAATCTTACTGGAGTTAGATGATATCTCAAAGTAGTTTTGCATTTCTCTAATGATTAAGGATAGTGAGCATTTTTTTCATATGTCTGTAGGCCATGCACCTGTCTTCTTCAGAGTAGTTTCTCTTCAAGTCTCTTGCCCACCCTGAGATGGGATCACTTGTTCTTTTCTTGGTAATACATTTGAGTTCTCTATAGATTCTGATTATTAAACCTTTGTTAGAGACATAACCTGCAAATATCTTCTCCCATTCTGAGTGTTACCCTTAACAAATATGAAATGACCATCCTTATTTTTCCTTACTTTTGTTGGATCAAAGCCTATTGTATCTGTGAATAAAATTGCAACACCTGCTTTTTTCTGATTTCCATTTGCCTGAAATATAGATGACCATTCTTTCACCGTGAGTCTATATTTCACTTTTAAGGTAAGATGAGATTGTTCTATGCAGCAGATATCTGGCCTGAGTTTTTGTATCCAGTCAGCCAACCTGTGCCTCTTTAGAGAACAGTTTAAGCCGTTTACATTAATTGAGAATATTGATAAGCCTGGTAGGATTTTGGGTATCGAGTTTTTTGAAAGTCCAGTGGACATTTTTAATCCTTTCGCCACTGTGGAAGTTGGAATTTGATCAAAAGTTTCTGAGTGAGTTTACTTTTGTGGTGGAG